GTTTTTAAAACGGGTGTACTAGGGATAGGTTTCCACACCCTTATAAGGAATGTTTCGTTCCCCTCTCCAACTGATGTGGGATCTCACAATTCGAATAGCTTATGAAGTATACTATAAGTTCAATAATTGCATATGTGCTCAATGACTACGTTTTACATGTTATTCTCACGTCCATTCTTCTATCTGCAGAAATCTTGCTAGAAACAACTTCAATAAAGGCATCCCTTATTCCATTTCCTTGATTACTTCTCTTCAATACTTGTAAGCAAATTTTTTTAACCATCAATTGGCATGCTTGTTTTACCAAAGACTTTAGCTGTTATTGATGCTTTTATCCCTCATTTATTGAAATTGTAGGAATATCAGTCACAATCAGCTTCAGAATCCATTGATTGATATGTTTGGGCAGCTTACTTCCCTATTCACATTGTAAGATATCTTCCCCTACTTATTCATTTCTTATGAGAATTTGAATGGCTGCTGATTTGAGCTGACCAAAGATTGTTAGGCCCAGACTCTTTCAAATATATTTCAATTGCAATCCTGTTTACATGGCTTGTATGCACATTTTTATACTTGGTGGGCCAAACAATATTAAAATTTTCCATTCACCTGATAAGTTCTATGCCTACTCTATTTAATGAAATTTTCGTCCATAATCTGGAAGATTGTAAGTAGTAATAATACTTTGTTCTACAATGAGAAATTTACCATAATGCCTGTCATGCATTGTCTTCTCACTTGTTGCTGAAACATATTCTTCAAGACAAAGTACGAGAATGATTGAGTTTGTTGTAGTCTTCTCGCTTGACGTATTGAAATTTGTATTTCAATCAGGGATCTGTCTTTCAATGCTATGTCAGGCAACCTGCCTCAGAGTTTTAGCTCTCTTTCTGGCATCAGCACTATGTAAGTCTAATTCATTCCTATGCTATTGACACCTGAAGTAGTATTGTCCTTTTTGCTGATTCCGTTGATCAACTTTTAAATAGGAATTTGCAAAACAATCAGTTCACTGGCACAATTGATGTCCTTGCAACTCTTCCTCTTGATAACCTGTGAGTTTAAAGCATCTAAGTTAACATGGAAGATATGCTTCTTTTCCACCATCTTATAGAATGCATTCGATTTTTATTTTTCAAGGAATGTTGAAAATAACCGTTTCACTGGCTGGATCCCTAATCAACTGAAGAACATTAATCTGCGGTGAGTATATCTGACATTATCATTGGCTGGTAATTCTTTTAATTGAATACTGATTTTGACTCCATTAGCCTTCAATATGATTGAAAATTTTATCAGGAAAGATGGCAACTCCTGGAGCTCAGGTCCTGCACCCCCTCCCCCACCTGGTACACCCCCAGCCACCAGAAGGAACCGGAGTCACAGTTCTGGTGGCAGTCCATCAAATGGTGGTTCTAGTGAAGGTCAGAAATCAGGATTAGGTGGTGGTGCTATTGCAGGAATTATCATCTCTGTGCTTGTCGTTGGAGCGGTAGTAGCATTCTTCATCGTCAAGAGGAGATCGAAGAGATCATCTTCAGACATTGAAAGGCTTGATAATCAACCCCTGCAACCTCTTAAAATGACTGCAACACAAGGTCGTGTTCTACACTATGAGATTATTATTTGCATTTTCATGTTGTCTATATTTTCATGCCTTAATTTTTTCTTTATAGATTGCGTCATTTCTTGTTCAAAATAATTTCCTTAGAATATGAGAGAGATGGAAACTTCATTTTTCCAGTCCGTTGATCTCAAAATTTGTGAGATCCCACATCGATTGGGGAGGGGAACGAAGCATTCTTTATAAGGGTGTAGAAACCTCTCCTTAGCAATGCGTTTTAAAAACTTTGAGGGGAAGCCCGAAAGAGAAAGCCAAAACCTTGAGGGGAAGCCTGAGAGGGAAAGCCCAAAGAGGATAATAATATCTACTAGCGGTGGGCTAAGGGCTGTTACAAATGGTATTAGAGCCAGGTTCTGAGCGGTGTGCCAGCGAGGACGCTGGGCACCAAAGGGTGTGAATTTTGAGATCGAAGCATTCTTTATAAGGGTGGAAAACTCTCCGTAGCAGACGCGTTTTGAGGATAATATCTGCTAGCGGTAGGCTTGGCTGTTACAAATTTGATGTTATTTGTTGCTTGTTTTCATATATTGTTGTGTAAAGTTCGATTTTATGGCATTAAAATTTACTTTTAACGCCACTCAATGCTTTCAAACATTGTAATGCAGAAATGAAGTCAGAAGAGACTTCCTCCACATTTTATCCAACAGCATTTGACACTTCTGCTGCAATTAATCTCAAACCCCCACCTATCGATCGTCATAAATCGTTTGATGAAGATGACTTCTCAAAACGAGCACCAGTCGTCAAGAAGGCCAGTGCAGCTCCTATTAATGTAAAGGCATATTCAATAGCAGACCTGCAAATGGCTACAGGTAGCTTCAATGTTGAAAATCTTCTTGGTGAGGGATCGTTTGGACGTGTATATCGGGCTGAGTTTGATAACGGAAAGGTTACTCCCTAACTTAATTTTTCATGTCGAACTGAGATAGGAAAAATATAATATCTAATGATAGATCTCTCCTAAGTTGAATAATATGCTAGAGATTTATGAATCACGCTATTAGATCCCATGTCGGTTGGGGAGGAGATCAGAAAACCTCTCCCTAGCAAACGTGTTTTAAAAACTTTGAGAGAAAGCTCAAAAGAAAATATCTGCTAGCGGTGGACTTAGATTGTTACACACACATTAGCCTTAGCATAGTCCTAGCTGATTTTGTGTTATCATTTTTCCTCCAAACTGCTCCTGATGTTTTGAATTGATTCAGGTTCTTGCGGTGAAAAAGATAAACTCGTCTGCATTACCGAGGGAATTAGCTGAAGATTTCACTGACATTGTTTCTCAAGTCTCCCAGTTACACCATCCCAATATAACCGAGCTGGTGGGTTATTGCTCAGAGCATGGGCAGCATTTGCTTGTGTATGAGTTCCATAAAAATGGCTCGCTTTACGACTTCTTGCATCTATCAGATGAATACAACAGACCTCTAATATGGAATTCCCGCATTAAGATTGCCTTGGGAACAGCGCGCGCATTAGAGTAAGTTTTGCAGACATTAATTAATAGAAGTAGTGGATAAATGATTCATGTTGTTTGAAGACTAGACGCGATGATGGTAAACTTTTCAGGTATCTTCATGAAGTATGCTCCCCGTCAATTGTTCATAGAAACATCAAGTCCGCTAACATATTGCTGGATGCCGAATTCAGCCCCCACCTTTCTGATTCTGGACTGGAAAGCTTTGTACCTAATGCAGATCAGGTCAATCTTGAACCTAATGAATCTTATTTTTACTTCAATATACAACGGTTGAATGATTTTTTGTGGGAAACACTCGCACTTTTTGTTAACACTAATCGATAAGATATTACAAGACACTCTATAGAAACTACTACACTTTGATGGAAAACACTTGCACTTTTTATTAACACCAATCAAGTAGAGATCACAAGACACTCTATAGAAAGTACTACACTTTGATCTACTTGAGACGGCTTGGGATTTCTTGGATGAAAGCCTAGGTAGGGTGGAGGAATATTTATAGTAGAGGTCATACACTCTATTTCTAAAATATCTAAATCTTTTTCATAACGATATATTTAGGTATCTTTATTCTTACAGTACCTAAATCATTTTTCTAAAATAAACATACAACGAGCTCATACACTTATTGGACTTGACCCTATTGAGCTAGTGATGATATTTTAATAGGCACTGTAACACGAACGGTTATTCAACTCGTATTTGTAATGTGCAGGCACTGGATGACGATGCAAGTTCAGGATACACTGCCCCCGAGGTCGCCATGTCCGGCCAATATACTTTGAAAAGCGACGTCTACAGTTTTGGTGTGGTCATGCTGGAACTCCTGACTGGACGCAAACCGTTCGATAGGTGAATTTTTATGCACTTCCAAGTATGTTGCCATTCCATTTGTTTTCGTTCCATTGTGATGTTTTCTTGCAATTACAGTTCAAGGTCGAGGATGGAGCAATCTTTGGTTCGATGGGCTACACCACAGCTTCATGACATTGATGCTTTAACGAAGATGGTAGATCCCGAGCTCAAAGGGCTATATCCAGTTAAATCTCTCTCCCGATTTGCAGACGTGATTGCGCTTTGCGTCCAGGTATCATCATATAAGTATAATGTCGTAAAGTATCGTATCGTCTCGTCTTTAATGGTGTTTTTATTTAAAATATGATAAGACCTAAATTTATTTTGTAACGACAGACTGAACCTGAGTTCAGACCTCCAATGTCGGAGGTGGTGGAAGCGTTGGTTCGTCTGGTACAGCGAGCTAACATGAGTAAGAGAACAGTTGGGAACGATAATGCAACATCTCCCAGGGGAGGAGAGATGGGTGGAGAGGACACACCATAGACACAACACAACACGGCTTCTTCAAAGGTAAAAATTGTTGGTTACTACATCATCATGAAAATGGAACACAAACTTACCTTCTTCTTCATCATAATTCTTTCTTCATAATAATAATTATGTTTGTTGTTATGTTGTTAATATTACATGTTTGATGTTTAGATTCCTTTTGTGGAAAAGTTTACACTCCTAGCTTTTTAGTGTATTTGAAACATAACGGTCGAACAACTCGTTTCATTTTCAACAAATATTTATTTCGATTAAATAATTGGAAGATTTTACTTGTATGAACCATCTGTTTCTTCATCTTGTACCCATTCTTGTTCACATTATTATTTGTTGTTAATTTATTATTTAATCTTACCTGGTTTTCTCAATGTTCACATTATTAATTTATTTTCTTTTATTTTCTTTTTTTTTTAATAAAGGGAAACCACTTTTAATAATTTGGTCGTGGAATACTATATAATTATGAAAGGGGTTGTAAACAATCTTTTATACTAACATTTTATTAGATAGAGATGGAAATTTTGCACAACTTTTAGTTAGAGAAGATCCATGATGGGCAATTATAACTTTAATCTATTAATTATGTTGATTTAAACTAATTACCTAATTTAAACTCTAATAAGTTTCAATGTTATAGATCAAATAGTTTAATGTTTTTAAATGATACTAAAAAACTAAATACGATGCAAAAAATAAAATAAATAAAAGGGTAGTACTACTGACCATTATGGTTATCTGGTGCCAACCACATTTGGGTTGTATTAAGAAGAGAACTTCTTGGACGAATCCGATTCTTGTTGTCTTGGGGATGGATAAGATCACACTGGCCAACATAATTAAAACCACCCAACAGGGGAATCAGGCTATGCACTTCCTTTTATAATTGTAGAACAATGTAAATTTTGAGAAGTATAACACACCATTAATCCAAGCGCGTATGTGATGCCCTCATTTTGTGAATTTGTTCAATCATCTTTGTTTGAATGTTGCACCTTCTTTCCCCCCATACGAAAATTGGATCAATCGCTGATCTCATTGTATCCTTAATTGTAGTTATATCATCATGTCTCTCCATCCGACTCAGAATTTCGTCGAGTTCCTTTGATGGCTGCGAATCCTGATCATAAAGATAAAAACAGAATTAACTTTATCCAAGCAAGACTGATTTCAGTTATATGCTTGATGATCCTTTAAAAGGAGAACACAAGGATTGACTGAAAAATATGCCATCGGGTATGTCTCTGAAGAAAGTAATTACTCCAAGAAAAAAGGATTGGATCAAATGTAAAAATAATAAAGGCAATATATTCACATGATAGCCTATGAAATCTAAAAAAATAGAAATCGAACAATTGTTTAAATACGGGGCCACCAGCGCGAATGAGGATAGAAGGGATCCTCCACTCATAGTACTTGTTCTTCAATCAAGCATAGAAGTGTAGTTTCTATGAATTACCTGCGAAGGAAAGAACAATCTGAACTTACCAGTGCTGAACCTGGATATTGTTGGACTTTGTGCTCGGTTTCATGCCATCAGAGGATGAGTAGCATGTTGGACACAACTAGCGGTGGGAAAAATCTCACTCTTTATTAATACCAATCTAGAAGAGATTACAAAATATTTACTATACATTTTGCTATAATTGACACTTTGATCTAATCTTAAAATATCTAAATCTTTTTTTAGAAATATTTAGATATCTTTATTTTTAAAATATCTTAATCAAATATTGAAAGAATACTACCTACCATTATTGTTGAGCCAGTGATGACCAACTGAAGGAGCTTTTCACCTCCCTTTATATGTTTACGTAGATTTGAAGAAAAATGCAGAAACATTAAGAACATGCAATGAACTCCTAAAAAATTGAATAAAATCCTATGGTCAAGTGACAGCTACACTAAAACATGATGATGTCCAAAAGCCAAGTACAGATGTACCTTCAGAGCTCGCCAATGAGAATATGCGCGAACCAAAACCCAAAAGAAAGGCATGTTTGGAAGCGGTAAAACCTATAATGAAAAGCCAGTATAGAAATCAAGAGAAGTCCTTGATGCATTAAGGAATTGAAATGTAGCAATGCATGCTATGTCAAAGGCATACCAACTCATGACAACGTGATCATGATAATAAAACAAACAATGCAGAAAAAAGTTTGGCTGATATACCAAAATAATATAAACAACATACAGTCAATGTACTTGTCAATGCAAGCATTGAAACTGAACCATAAAACTATTTCTTGTGAATGACAATTCCCCTGGTCATGAGATACAGAAAATTCACATCAGTAAGGGTCGTAGTTCTAGCTTTTGCAACAAGAATAGCTATCTAGAAACAAAAAGGACTTGAGATCATAATAAGCATTCTGTCATGGAACCACAGGCTCATTGTTGTGACCAAATCTTAAGTATACAAAATCTATAGACGTCAATTCTCGTCCCTCCGTTCAGAGAATAACACATTCTTGAATCAACGATATTTAGCCTAGAACATACTAGGCAGATGGAAAAAGGAAATGCACCTGAGAGCAATATGCCGTAACCTCCTGCGAACTAGCCGTGAATTCAAACTGTAATGTCGCAAGAAATCAGTGAAGTAACATAACAATTTGTGATAATAGTAACAATTTATATAATTAAGTATTGAAAAAGGCATCGGTAATGGATTTCAAGTAGATAAAGAAGCAGCAATGTTTTTAAAATAACGAAGTAAAAGAGATGAAACCTCGATGGATATGTTATTTCGACACTCGTGATATCTTTAGTTATTGACTTGAAGAATATCTCAGACGGCGTAACTCGAGACAAAAGCATCAATCCGATCCTACAAGCAGAAAAATCAATAAAGATCCAGTTTCTTTCACTATAAATGTGACATAGGACTAATAGAATCGCGCTGGCGAGACTTTACCCGTGAAGTTTATTTTTAAACGATTTATCAGGAGCCTTCTCAAGAGCAGTCCACGCTTTATTCATCTGACGTCCATGACATCGCGATGTTTGATTCGATAAAAACGAATACCAGATCAAAGAAGCGAAACGAAACTGAAAAGAATATGGAGGACCTTGAAAGAGATGAAATCAGTAACAATCTCCGCATTGCTTCTACCAGTGCTGCGGGAGAGAGCGTCTGATTTGGAGGAAGAAGACGATGGAATTTTTGTCCAGAGATCCTTCAAAGTGGAAGGAATCTGAGTAGAATCAGAATCCGAAGCGGCAAGGTCGATGGATCTGCTGAAACACCAATTTCTTCCTCTGATAGGAAGCACTACCAATCTAGCTCTCCTCGTTCCAAAATTCCAATGGAGAAGAGGCTTCGTTGGTACACGAACTCCTCCCTCTGTCACATAATCACTAATCCCTAAGCAAATTGGTTTCTCTGAACCAAATGTGGAAAATGTGGAAAATGAGGAGAGAACTCGAACTCGACCTCGAAAGTGAACGAAATGAGTCTTAAATACGCGCCGTTGCGACTAATGCAAGAACGCGGGTAAAGAGAACTTCCGCCGCATCCCATTCATTACTAATGAAATTTTATATTGCCCTTCAATTTTTTATTTTTACATTTTGACCCCCAAAAAATTGGAATTCTCACTTTTAGCATTTTACATTTTAAAATTCGATTTTAGTCTTTAATTATATATATGAACAAAACTTTGAACCAACAGTCTTTAATAGCTTTTAAAATAGATTTTCACAAACTCAATTTATACTATAACAAATTCGGTGCGACAATTTAAATAAATAACATAAAATATATTGCTAGAATTTCAACCTTAAAAAAAAAAAAAAATAGAAGTATATAATAATAATAATGTTTAGCTAACTTTAGTATATAGTAACTATTCATGATAATTTATTAAAACTTAAATATTAATTTTTCTAGTTTGTTAATTTACAAATGCAATAAATTTCATTAAATCTTAATAATAAGATTCACAATCCAAACTAAAACGTTACAATTTTATAGTATAATAATTAAATTATACATATTGATATTATCGACTAAACTAATAGTTAATTGAAAGTACATGAATACAAAAATAAAATCCATAAAAATATTTTACAATACAACACCACCTCTCAAGTTCTTGATTTTTTTTTTTTTTTTTTTCTTTTGGACACGCCCAGTTCTACATCGATCTAACATTATGCTACATGCCGACGAATTTCGAGTGAAAATAAAAAGGATTGAATCAAAGAATCGGCTTGAAAGTTACAAAAATAATAATGAAAATGAAGTTGTTTTTTGGTCATTCATTTTCTGCAATAAAGTTTGGGTCCTGACCTCGACAGAGATATTCATCACATAGAGATGCTGATCGCCAGTCCTTTCTTAAACGCAAAATGTCTTCAGTAAAAGTGGAACCAGATGTTCCAATGAACACTTTCGACATTGCACAGATGGTCTTATCCAGCATGGCTTCCACCTTCCAAACATCATTTCAAAACAAAAACCTCAATAAGTATACGTGTCTACCTAGAATGATAAGATTTTTTTTTTTGTTTTTAGTCACAAATTGTGGCGTGTGTGGATTTGAACTTCCAAACTATACAGAAATAAGTATTTGTCAATTACAATTGAGCTATGCTTATTTTAGCAAGGTTGATCTAAAGATTTAACCATCTGCACGAGTAAGAAGCCATTGGTTGGCAAAATTAAGAAGCCTCTAAACCTTCAAATGCTAGAAACAATGCATGAATGGTTAGGAATTACGAACCTCTGTAATAGTATGATATTGTTCACTTTGAGCATAAGCTCTCATGATTTTGCTTTTTGTTTTCCCAAAAAGCCTCATCCCATTGGGATGTATTCCTTACTTATAAACTCGTGATCAACTCCTTAATTAGCCACACTACTTATAAACCCATGATCAACCCCTTAATTAGCCACATTACTTATAAACCCATGATCAGCCCCTTAATTAGCCACATTACTTATAAACCCATGATCAACCCCTTAATTAGCCGTTGTGGGATTCCTATCCCAACAATCCTCAACATGAACATCATACACGAGAATCTAAGAGGAATTTTTTTTTAATATATGAAAACCAAACTATCATTAGGAAAATAAATGAGAGGAAAACTTAGAGGAAAACTTGAGACTATCCAAAGATACCAATCGCTAGGTCTAACGCCAGTAGATGCTTCAGCCTAACAACCCACTCCCCATCATCCCAAAGGGGGGGCCTAAAGTACAGTGGAAGGGGAAAATGTAATAACTTTTTGATGTCCAAAGAATGATAAAGGAGGCGCTATGAAGAGGGATCAGTAACCATCTTCTGGATTAGATATCAATTCATAAGGTCCACATCAAAACTTTTATCCAGAAACAATTCTCTAACGCCTAATGAAGTTATCTTATACGAGCAATACCATGTGACAGCTGGGTTGGTTTGGCTATTCTTTTCTATTGAAAAGGAGTCGGTTGAGGATTTTTGGAAGAAAACACAAGGGATTGATGCATAAAATATACTACATAATTGCATTTGATCATTCAGATTTGATTAACTAAAAATGAGTCACTCACCTGAGAATCTCCCTCAATTTCATGTCTGTAAAGTAAAGCATCCCATTTCTCAGCTGAATTTCGAGGCGGTCGTTTAACCAGTGGTATGGGCTTTCCATTCACCACAACAAGGGACTGCAGCAATCCAGTTTCGCTGTCTGCAGCGTCTGTGGAAAGATAAATGACGGGTGAATTGGACCGTTCAGCTACACTTGCAATGCAGTCTGCAGCTTGAGGAATAGGGTAAAAGCAACTTGGCCGTTTTGCATTACTGGAAATAAGCAAGAAACAAAACTATGAGTTTTCTCAACACCAAGGCCATTCAGAAAGCACGAATGTTGTAATATTGCACACTAGGAGGAGCTGTAGTAGAAGTACAAATCTATGAGCCACATCTCCATGACCATATAATACATGCATGTCACGCAAGTGAAAAAAAAAGAAGAAGAAGAACAACAACAACAATGATAATGGGGGCAAAACATCAAAAATCAGTTGCAGCATTATGAACATCAAAACAAAAGTCGAAAACAGATCAAGCAGTCAATGGACACGCAAACACCAAGAGATATGGGCAGATAATTTGAATAAAGTAAAGACGTGTGATCATAATATTTCTTAGCTATGAGATAGAATGAAAAGCACAACATTAACTTAGTACAAATTGGAGCTGGGGGATGAATGAAATACCAGAACTTCAGAAATCCGTGTCGTCGAAAGTGAATAGCTGTGAAATCGTTCCCCAAGAAAGTCTGAATGAAACGCTGGGCAGTGACCATAATAAGATGGCTTGGTTCAATTAGGGTCTTGCATTTGTGGGCAATAGGACCCCCTGGTTGCCCAAACCAGTCATTCTCTACATTAGCATAAAAAACATCCCCAATGGCAATAACATCAGCATCGGAAGAGAACTTGGACTCGATATCTTGAACTGTTTTTGTACTGGGATTCTTAATATCCTCATCCCAAGGAGACTCGAGTTTACCCGTGGAAACCCCTATATTGTTTAACTGCTTAACATGGTCCTCGTCCAAATAACAGTAATCAGGTTTTGAAAAATAACAGAAAAACTTATCGATCTGTAACCGTTTCTTCTGAATCTCGGAAAATTCTTCAAAAGAGACGACAACCTTCCTACCCAAGCAATTATTGACGTGATCTACATCCAACACCCTACTATACTGATAATCGACTTTGGAACTAGGAATAACCAAAAATCGATTAAGAATGGCCGCAAAGAACATGTGTTTTTCCAAGCAAATCAAATGGTTCGACATCTGTCCTGATGCGCAAATGGCAAACAAAAACTTATTCGGTTTCGGATCCCATTCTATGGTCCGTCTACGGGACAACTCCTGGTCCACCTTCCTACACCTATCGAAATCAGAACCAACAAAATCGAGGTCTTCAACGCCTACTTCATTCGATGAGTTTCCAGACTGATGTGGTGATAAAAGAACGTTTTGGATCTCCGTATTCAGCGAAATCTGCCTAAGTAACGATAATTTGAGGTCCTCAGACGTGGAATTGGGGAGAGAACTAAAAGAATGATTCCAAATTGACAAAAGACCTAACCGCTGCTGCTTCAACAAAAACAATGCGTGCAGTTCAGATTCTCTCATTCGATGACCGAGAGAATCAAAAACTCTGAACGACGAAGAGAGCTCCCCGGAGAAAAGATTCCTAATATCGGTAGAGAAATAGACGAGTACAAGGAAGAGAGGAAGAAAAATGGCGAAGAGATACCTCTTTCTGAACGAGAAACGACGCCGGGGGGAGCCAGAACGAAAATCGAGACCATCGCCGACGTTGAAAACGGCGGAGCGAGGGGAAGGAGAGTTGTTGATCTCATTCTGGTGGATCAGATTCTCTCGATCGTCGTCTTCGTCGGAAGACGGATCGGGCTTCTCCATTAACGCCAGAAAACAAGGTTTTAGTGTGAGGCACGGCTGGAAGAACAGCTTCAAGCTAAGTAGTAGCCGTTAAATTGGACATTAAAAATGGCAGGGGCAATGAGATCTGAAGTTGCTCAAGAACTCCGTCGGTGACGAAAACGACGGCGTATCGGGCCACCAGACATCGATCTGAAAGGACGCTCGTTGGGCCCAGCCCATCTACTCTCACATCTTCTCTTCCTTTCTATCAAAGCAACCAACCCTTCTAAATCTCATCCAATTTTAATATTTTAAATACCACTAATTAAAACCAAATAATTTTCTAAAAAATATTAAAATTTAATAATTAAAAAGTGAGAAAAGTAAAATTCAACCATTTTTATTTTTTCTATTCTCAATTTTTTATATTTTCATACATTCCTTTAATTATTTTCTGGGATTTTTTTAATTTTTATTTTTGGTAATATTAAAAATAAATAAAAATAATTTAGGATATTCCAAGGCATTTTCGTTCACCTATGGCTACAATTACTATTCTAGTCATAGACTCATAATTGAATTGTGGATGGTGAACAACCATCACTACTTTTAATCCTTAGTTCTAACCCGATTGGAAAAATATTTTTAAAATTTTAAGAGTGACGTTAAAATATTTAATTTTTATTGAAAAAAAATTCACAAAAGTTATTATCATCAATATTTAGATAAAAACGGGTTATCTACCCTTCATAATTTGTCTCCAAATTTAAAAAAAAATATATATATATATATATAAATATATATATATATATATATATATATATATATATAGGCAATAATATTACTTATACAAGTTTATGGTATTTTTGAAACAGATATCAACGGTTCCACCACATACTAATGATAAAATTATTTTTGAAACACTTTTATTCGAAGATATCTTGAAAGTTCGATGGTATTTTGAAATAAAATATTGATATATTTGACCTATAACTAAAGTTTTTTTGAAGTTTAAAATTATTTTTTAATTTTTTAAAAAATTAAAGTGTATTATCGAAATTTTTAAAAGTTTGAAAGTATATTTTAAAATAGATCGAAGTCAAGAGGCAATTTCGTGAAGAAGGGGAAGACTGACTTGATGGCTTCATGGCAAGACTTTGGTTCCTTCAACTGTCCTACCCAACAACCAAATAACCACCACCTCTCTAACACTTCCTC